TGTTATAGCTACGAGGATGTCCTTAATTACTGGTTGTTATAGCTACGAGGATGTTCTTAATTACTGGTTGTTATAGCTACGAGCATGTCCTTAATTACTGGTTGTTATAGCCACGAGGATGTCCTTAATTACTGGTTGTTATAGCTACGAGGGTGTCCTTAATTACTGGTTGTTATAGCTACGAGGATGTTCTTAATTACTGGTTGTTATAGCTACGAGGATGTTCTTAATTGCTGGTTGTTATGCTGAACTATGTTATAGCGGAGAAAATACTGGAAGACGTCGGTGGTATTGTCCGCTGGCAATATTTAGGTAGTGATAGTAGTGGCGCAGACAAACGAGTACACAGTGGGCCTAACATCGACAGCTAGCGGAAGGTCTGACATAAGCTATATATATATATATAATGTGTGTGTGTGTGTGTGTTTCGTGCGTGCGTGCGTGTGTGTGTGTGCGTGTGTGTGTGTGCGTGTGCGCGGTGTGCGCGGTGTGCCGCGTGCGTGCGTGGCGTGTCCTGTGCGTGTGTGTGCGTTTAGTATGTTATATAATATATATAATCATATATATATATATATATATATATACCTATATACATATGTGTATATATATAGCAGAGAAGCGGGAGAGACTTGGGTGCGATACCATTTCCCCCGTTTATGAAAACATTGACAGGACAATATATGGGGTGAGTAGCCCATATAAGAGACAACAACCCTTTTTCTATTCTATATAAAGGTTTCACATCTATTTATATAGGATGGGTAGCAGAGCACGTACAAGTAAATATATGTGCTCTGGTGGTTAGCAACCAAATCTACCGCTACCTACTACATTCGCCAGCTATAAGTTATCGGTATGAGTTTGGGGTTGACAATCACGTCACAGTTGCGGCCCTATAGCATGTCAGTGCGAATTCCCTCGACTTGTCAATCAGTGTTGAGAAAACTTTTCATTCGACGAAGCTATGAACGATACGAGTAAGGATGTGATCGTAGATATAGAATACAGATCAGGGGCCCGTTGTCAGAAACAAAATTGATCGTTCTAGAATCACATCATACATATAGGATACAGGGGCCCGTTGTCAGAAACAAAATTAGTCTTAACATAAACTTTTTCTCTTAGACCGGTGACAGAAATGCTGCGAAGTTACGAGAATGAAAAATCGTAGCAGATTTCCTCATAACAATACGAAGCAAAGTGATGTCGACGGTCTAGGAAAAATGGTTAATGTTAAGACGAATGTTAAGACTAATTTTGTTTCTGACTAAGTGTAACGGAGCTGGTTTCACCATAGCTTCTTAATTACTATTGGTTTGGTCATGAGGCCATGCGGGTCGCGTTGGCGACAAGCCAGGTGGAAATAGATGAGATATTCGGTGTGCGCGATCCAAGCGTGAGGGTAATGATAGTCGCAATAAAGTGAATAACGACGTCAACAGAGGGGCCGGAGTGCTGCGGGATAATCTGTTATGACCCGCACCCGGTGCACGTCAGGAAGAGGGAGGTCGAACAACAAGTTCGGTTAGATTTAAGAGCGCTGCGAGCAGGAGCAAGGGAAGGAGGTCTGCTCTCTATTTGTTGTAGACATTATTGTTGCTGGTTCTGGTCACGGAAGGAGGCGCACGCGCGTATACGCGTGTGCGCGTTCTTTGTCTGTGTGTGTGGAGATGTTATGTGTCTAAGATATTAAAGGTTGTACAGTTTACCACACAAGTTCTGAATCTACTTCATCATTTCTACGTAAACGCGCATTCCCATTATTTACATAAGCGTGTGCCCTGACAAATTCTATGAGACTCGGAGGCAGCCTGTTCTCGAATACAACGCTGTGTCTGACGATAACGCGCGCGCAGTGGCACTTCAGCGAATGATACTGCGCGCTCATTCTGCCATGTATCTCGTCGCTCGACTCCACGTTGCCGCAGAAACGCGTCGGGTTAATCCGGCGCCAGAGTTCGTATGGCGTCTCTCCCTGTGCGTTCACCACGTCGCCGAGTGCGCCGTGGTTGAACAGCAGCGTGTGCACTATCTGCACGCACCCCTCCCATCCCTCTCTGCCCGCGAGCATCGCCCTACAGAAGCTGTGCAGCGGGGTGTCGCCCTCGCTGTCGCGTGTGTTAACGTGTAGAAGTACGCCGGCGGACTCGCACGTCTGTAGGAGAACTGACGCCGCTTGTACTGCTAGCCCGCACGTTCTTCTTCCTTCCACCTCGGTGCCTATTATAGCAAGCGGCGTCCTCTTGTCACAATCGACGAGGTTCGGGTCAGCTCCGTGTTTCAAGAGGGGAGTAATCAACTTGTGAACGAAAGAAACGAGGATCGTTAACAACACGATTTTTGGTTCGTTCCTTAAAGAATAAGTTTCTCCGAGCATACTACCTTTATTACTGTTGCCGATTACTAACTATTACTATTATTAAATTATTAACTATTAACCGATTACTATTACTGATTACATTTATTATCTAGACAAAAATACATTGGAACATCGCTAAAATTGTCTCCGTCGTTCACAACGTACGACCACATTTTTCCTCGGTCCCGAGTAGATTGCAGGAGCACACAAGGCCGTACACAGGAAATTTGCAAGAGGGGCAGTAGCAGGGTCGTGTAATGGTGTAACTTGCGAGCACGCAAAGGGGGGTCTGGCGAATTTTTTTGGAAATTAGACCCCCTCAGATGCGTTTTCTGCACGAGCAGGGGCGGAACCTCAGCTGCTGAGAAAATCGCGTTAGCCACTGACGTGGCCTATGGAGTGCAAAGGGTTAAATTATAAAAACTGTGCATTGAAATTAAATTTCTGGGGGGCAAATGTCCCCCCCCCCCCCCGTGCCCCCCCGCTATGTACGGCCATGTGCAGGAGTAGTGTAATGCGTTGAAACTATTTAACATATCTATTATTAACTGTTAACCTATTACTATTACTGATTACCTCTACCATCTATAAGAACATACATTTAGGACATTGCTAAAATTCGGTCTCAATCATTCCCAACGTACGCCCGTAGTTTTACCTTGATATGAAGTCGATCACAGGAGTAGTGTAACGCGGTGAAACTCCCCCTTTCTTCCGTCGCGGCGACGTTGGGGTCTGCGCCGGCCTCCAGTAGCATGCACATGATGTTCAGCCGGCCAAGGCGAGCCGCTTGGCACAGGGAGTTCCTTCCGTACGAGTCCGCGGCGTTGGCGTCAGCGCCGTGTGAGAGCAGCATCCGCACCGTCGCCTCATTGTCCTTACTCACCGCTCCCATCAGCGGCGTTATCATGCTCTCTGTAGCGGCGACGTTTAGATCTGCTCCGGCCTCCAGTAGCTGGCATATGGTGTCCAGCTGGCCAAAGTAAGCCGCGAGGTGCAGGGAGGTCTGTCCGTCCGAGTCCGCGGCCTTGGCGTCGGCGCCGTGTGAGAGCAGCATCTGCACCACCTCCTCCTTGCCCTCCCTCACCGCTATCATCAGCGGCGTCTTTTCGCTCTCCGTATTGGCGACGTTGGGATTGGCGCCGGCCTCCAGTAGCAGGCGCACGATGTTCAGCTGGCCAAAGCGAGCGGCGTAGTGCAGGGAGTTGCTTCCGTACGAGTCCGCGGCTTGGGCGTCGGTGCCGGCCTCCAGTAGCAGGCGCACGATGTTCAGCCGGTCAAAGTAAGCCGCGGGGTGCAGGGAGTTCCCTTGGTATGAGTACACGGCGCTGACGTCGGCGCCGTGTAAAAGCAGCATCCGCACCGCCACTTCATCGGACTTACTCACCGCCATCATCAGCGGCGTCATCCCGTGCTCCGTCTCGGCGACGTTTGGATGTGCACCAGCCTCTAGTAGCAGGCGCCCAATGTCCAGTTGCCTGTAGACAGCCGCGATGTGCAAGGAGGTCACTCCATTCGAGTCCACGGCATTAGCGTCAACGCCGGCCTCCAGTAGCAGGCGCACAATATCCAGCTGGCCAGAGCGAGCCGCGATGTGCAGGGAGGTCTGTCCGTCCGAGTCCGCGGCCTTGGCTTCGGCGCCGTCTGAGAGCAGCATCTGCACCAGCGCCTCATTGCCCTCCTTCACTGCCTTCATCAGCGGCGTCACTCCGTTCTTAAGAAAAATTAAGAATCTTGATTTTTCTTAAAATCGATAAGAAATCAATGAGCAATTGTTCGATGACATGAATACATGTTGATAGATTTCTATAAGATCTGTTCGTGATTGTTTAGATTATAATCGGATACTATATATATATATCAGGAGTAGATAATAGGGATTATTACCCCTATTATTACCCCTATTACCCCTATTATTACCCCAATAGGGATTATTACCCCTATTACCCCTATTATTACCCCTATTATCTACTCCTGATATATATATATATATATAATTATGTACTCTAGGACTACTTGACGATCGGCACCCCGGATCTCGCGCGAAGTGCGAAAAACGCCACGTGGCGGCACACTAACACAACAACGCTGTACTGATAGAATAGTATTCCCACGGGTTTACTATAGAGCAGAATTCTGGGGTAATTGCTAAATTGAGCAGTTCTGGCGATTGCACGACGGGTTTGACTACCCAGGTAGCTAGACATTTCCTAGAAATGGTCGTAATTCGAAGTTTGCTACTCGGCGTGCTTGGTTTGCTGTAAAAAACGGAGTTCAAATTTGTTGTTTGTTTTTTGTTGTTGATCAGTGTAGTACATATGGCGTGCGAGAGATGGCGCAACGAGGCTATATGCATAGCATTCCCAATGCACATGGCGTTCCGCCCACCTCGGCCACCACCGAACGCTATGCACGGCATGAAACGCTATGCATAGCATTCCCCACTATTGGGAATGCGTGCGTCACAGGTCAACAGAAATGGCGCTCAATATATCTGCCGCTCGTCACTTCGAATTTTTGTAACAGGTTACATTAGTTCAATACAAAGTATTGTGATACATAGTCAGTTCCAGGATAGCGGAGAAAGGTTCGTGTTTAGAATTAACCCAGTTTGGAAGTTCTAGTCTCTGAAAACGCACCAGCAAACCGCCCTCAGTGATTCACTCAGGGGTTCCTCCACACAAAAGGATACGGTACACTCGCGTTGTAACCCTATCCTGTGTTTGGGTTATATCGGGTACATTGGGTTACATTGGGTATCCAGAGAGACATGATACAAGATTGCGTGGCACAGCTTTGCTGTTGCTCCTAAGCGCTGCGCGCGGATTAGACGCGCAGTTCCGCGGGATATGCGCACATGACCGCGGGGATCATCAAGTATGAAGCGCTGTCCGCAGTGGAGACGTGCGCCAAATTCGAGGCCCGGCGCACGTCTCCACAGCGGTCAGCGGATGGTCTGTCGTTTTAGAAGATGACAATGATTATATATTGACGATATTGTAGGAATTGGAGATTATAAAACCATAACAAAAATTGGTGAGTCATTCTCCAGATTAGCTGAATCAAAAAGATTCGAATTTAATATGAACAAAACAAATACAATGGTTATAACATTCACAAACAAAGAAAAGATAGAGAATTTAATAGGCAACCAAGTATTAAAAAAATGCACCAAATATTCATACCTAGGGGTATTCACAAACAAAGAAAAGATAGAGAATTTAATAGGCAACCAAGTATTAAAAAAATGCACCAAATATTCATACCTAGGGGATTTAATTAATGATATAGGAGGTTATAACGATATGATAAGAGTCCGAACTTAAAAATGTAGGTTCATGATGAGGGAAATATTATCGTGGGCAGAAGAGCAAAATTATGGAAATCATACTATATAGAAGCAAGAGTAAAATTATACGAATGCACAGTTTGACCTTCCTTCCTAAATAACAGTGAAAGATGGACTAACTTAACTAAGGAAGAAGTAAAAATGTTGGAGGATTTCCAAAATGAGTGCCTGCGCAAAATAATAATCACGCAGAAAACCTACCGAAAGGCATTGAAAGATGATGAAAAGTCCAAGAAAAGATACGGAGAAATCAGTAAAAATAACATATAGTTTCTATACGTAAATTGTGGTAAATACATATAAAAACGCATTATTTTATTGAAAATTCCCATATTTACTTATAAAACATCCAAGGGATGGCGCTGTGGCATGTAAACATCTCGGATTTGCCTCCGAACATTGTGTGTGTTTTATTGAATTGTTCAATGAATGACGCACTCGTTCACTTCCGACAGCAAGTGAAAATGCAGAAAATTTTCCTGTTCGATTCGAAATGCATCGGCCGGGCATTTCATTATTTACGGAAAGAAAACAGGCTGGGGAAAGGAACCGGTCACGTCGGTGACGCCCCATTCATGCCCATCAACGAAGAAGGCGGGACTTATTCTTATTACAGAAATGCTAAAATGCAACAAAAGTATGTAGCTTAGTGCGCTAAACGGCGTGTTATTTTCGTTTTTGTGCCAAACTCTATCGAAGGAAACCGTTCTAGCCTAGCAGAATGCCCTAGTTCGTCAGATCGGCGATTCCGTGCGTTAATAGTTATTATAGCTAGAAGTTATATATATAAGGGGCGGCGTAGACTGTGATTGGAAGACACAAAGTGTCAATCCTCGGCGAGCGCCTCGGTATCATGGCCGCATCACGTCTAGAGCAGCATCATAACGTTACTGTAAGTGGTATCCAGTGAGACATGATACAAGTTTGCGTTGCACAGCTTGGCTGTTAGATCATGAGGCGCTGAGCGGCGCCGACAACACGCGCTGTTCCGCGGGATATATGCGCACGCGACCGCGGAGATGTTCAAGTATGAAGCGCTGCCCGCAGTGGATACGTGCGCCACATTGTAGGCCCGGCGCACGTATCCACAGCGGTCAGGAGATGATCTTGTGGTTTTATAAAATAGCAAAACATATAGTGGCCCAAGGATAGAGAACATGGGTCCCAATAAAACCAATGTGCCTAACCCTAACCCTAATTCTAACCCTGGCCCTAACGGCCCAAGGATAGAGAACATGGGTCCCAATAAAACCAATGTGCCTAACCCTAANCCCAGAAAAGTGCTTCCTAAAAGAATCAACCACCTCGCCTCGACCTCCGCGGAACCTGGCAATTAAGGTTTAAACTCTGATGCCCCGAATCCTAACTTAATAAGAAGAAACGGCTTCATCACAACGGGAACCGTCCCCCCGTCACGCTACCACGGTCGCGTGGACGGACGCATCTGCCAGTCAACTCCCGGCACTCGCTTGTCACTCACCCCATCAGTCGTCAGGCTCGGACCCTACGCTCAGTAGTAGAATAGCTACCTGCGCGAGGCTCGCATCCCAGCAAGGCTCGCCATCTGTCGCAGCGGCCGAGATCAATGCCCGGTCCTAAAGCAGCGTTTCTTGACCTCGCAGCAATCCCACTGAAGATCGCGCCAGTGGAGATCCCGGTGACGTACCCCAGGTGACCGCACAAGTACCGATGTTAATGAGAGAACAGACCAGCGCTGCTGCCCAAGTCCTGACCATACTTCAGCGACTACTCTGCTAAAGAAGCACACAGCGCGTAAAATAAAAAAACGAATAGAATAATACCAGTATTTAAAAGGCACCAACTCGAACAGCAAACCCGGAAGAGTGTACGCCGACATGTCGAACACGCATGTATGAGATACGCGCGCACCCCCGCTCATGGTCCAGATGCGATAAAGTGCCGGGTAAGATGGATTAGGAGATGAAGCAACATCTTTAGCAAAAAACCAGAAGACTAATATAGCTTTCCCTCGAGTGCGCGAACCTAAACCACAAACACACAACACTGCCGATTACTACACACCCCTAGTTAAATAAGTTCTCGCCCGTGTCTGTACAGACTAGCACAAAGAAGACCGCCATGTAACTGCAATGATATAAGGAGTAAAACAAAACAAACTTAATCTTAGTAGTTAGATCCATATAAAGATATATAAAAAACATAGACTTCTTCAGGTCCTATGAAACTAGTAGAGATTCCAAAACAAAAAATTCAATAAGATATAAGGAGTATGCCATTAAGATTCGGCAATCTTATGAAAAAATCAATTTTCTTCTATTTAATCTCCACATCTCCGTTCTCTTCGTCATTCATCCAACATTTTTATTCTATTAAAAACCCCATGTCTAATGATAAATGACACTCCTCATGAATTCATAGTGTGCGTATAGCTCGATCGCTCGTCATGCATGTGCTTATAGCAGCAGCCGCTCGGTAAGATGTCCATGTCCTCCATCACTCGTGTCACCAAAACGCCGTAGCATTTATCCGTCCGTGTTCGATCGTGATGAGATCAGGAATATCACCTTTAAACATCGCCTGGTGGTGTTCCAGTTGTTCCAGTTTGTAAATTGTTAGACCATCTATCCCCGACAAAGTGACATAGTCACAGTGTCAACTGTCATACAATATAAGAAAATCCGCACAGGATATTTATCACCGAATAAACCGCTCTTTTTGACCGTTCAGATAATAAGCCAGCGCTCCCCTCTCAATCATTATGCTAATAAAATGTACACCTTTCTTTGCGCATTAGTTGGTTAATAGACAATGACCTTTCTATTCTTGCTTATCATCATCAGATCATTTCTCGCAAAAAGTATCATCACATCGCGACCAGAAGACGTAGACATCACATAGAAATCCCGCATATACACATCATCAAAGCGACGTAACTACGGAGTTTACAGATCCTAACAAAAACCACCAATAGCTGGCTGCTTATCGACGGCTCTAATTAAACGACTCACTAATCACGCGGCGTAGAAAATATGCTGCTAAGATGCTGACTGCTCACGCCACGCGCCTACAATATACACGAAGAGAAACACAAAACAAGAAAGCTGCAAGCTATTATATATCTGCATGTGACTATTAAATGACACAGAAACGCAGATGATTCTCTATTTTTTTAACGCTTTTTTTTATTTTTTATTCTGCTGCTATGAAAATCAGCCAAGACAGCCACCGGGACGCCGCTCATCTTCGATCCATACCGACAAGTAATGTTATATCTCTCAACGAAAGAGGCCTGTATCAGTTTTCAGTTGTAACAATCGAAAATAACTACAAACTCGAAATCCTATTTGCGACTAGGGCTCGTTGGC